CACAGCCACACAGCCCCACTCTAGTCTGCTCCTGCTGGGATTCGATCATGGTCACACAGCCCCACTCTAGTCTGCTCCTGCTGGGAGTCAGTCACGGCCACACAGCCCCACTCTAGTCTGCTCCTGCTGGGAGTCAGTCACGGTCACACAGCCCCACTCTAGTCTGCTCCTGCTGGGAGTCAGTCACAGCCACACAGGAGCTGCTGGAACTCTTCCATGCTCATGTGCAGGCTCAGAGCCACCACATGCTACAGCGAAAGACAGAGGCCTCTGCTGTACTGCCTTGTTGTCAAGCTGGGCCACGTCACGCCTGCACTCATGTTTAGTGTCACTGAGACCCGTTACGGTCCATTCAGGAGTACAGCAGTCGCAGTGTTAATTCTCCTCAAGGATGATGTGAGAATACAACTGCACACCCTCTCACTGTTTTAATTCTTGATTTTAAAAATAAGGGATTTGATTTACTGCCTAGCGGGGGTTTTTTCTTAACTGTAAGAGAGAGGAAACATAAATAAGATGTTTCCAACAGACTATGCAAAACATTAGGATAAAAATTAAGTTCAAGAGCAAACAACACGAGTCTGGATCTGTTCCAGCGTCAGCTCCAAACATCCTACTCAATGGGGTGCAGAGGTCTTCTAGACTGGAAACTGTTTAAAAGAAATGTGCCTGTCCATTGTCTTATACAGTATGCCTCTTCCCTCTGCTGTTCTGAGTGGGCTTCTTCCCACTGATGTCGTGTGCTAGAATCTGCCTGCTGGATGAGATTCTCATCTGATTGAGCTACTAACTAACAAACGAGCTGCACCGAACTAAATGGACTCTTCTCGTTTGCAGCCCTTCTAATATGTGGTGAGACCTCGTGCCTTTGTGTAACTGGGCCTGGTGTCGCCCCAGTGATGGAGTGAACACCTCACTTCCCAGTAAAGGCTCCACTAATGTGTGACCGCCGCGGTTCCGCGCAGGTCGTGCCCCCCCACCGCCCGTTCCCTCCCCCACACCTGGGGCGCGAACCCCGGTCTCCGGCGTAACGCAACAGGGCACCAACCGCGTGAGCTAAAGGAGACCTCCCCCAGCACAGGCAGCTGAGGACCCTGCTACGCGCAGGGAGGGCGCTGACGTCACCCCACTATTTCCACTACAAATACACGATTGGATTTGTGATTCAAGGTCTTCAGGCAGTGTTAGAGCAAGATTCCCTGAGGCCCTGGTGCAAAATTCAAGCTGCATATGAGCCCCTTTCATATTTCTCACTCTCCCCAGGGTCGGAAATCTGCTTTCTAAGGTGAACCCCTCATGTATTTTCTGCCTTGCAGAGTGGGGTGTCCTACTGTAAATGCTGGATATTATATCACCCGCTCCCAAATCTCACAGCGCTTTAGATGACATGGTCAGAACGAACAGTGAAACAAGAAGCTGAGGACACACTGTACGTGGGAACTACATGGCAGTGCGCTTACAACTGAGAACAGGAGGCGGTCCTTTACAAGAAGGGTGGTGGGAGTCTGGAACAAGCCACCCAGTCATGCGTTTGAAGCCCATATCCTGGCTTTTTCCTGGATATTGCCAGAGTGTGTATGAGTATTATTTAGTACACAGGAAGTTGTGGTGGAAGTTTATCATCAGGCTATACTGTAGGTGGTTGTGCAGTGGCTTGTGATTAAATAAAAAACATTATTCTATGTAGGAACAAGTAATAGGTTTATTCCATGCTGAAAAGGAAAGAGAGAAAACACAACGTTTTGACTGTGGAGCCTTCTTTGGGTGTAGAATGATATGTGTTATTCTATATACATATGAATAACCACTGTTCTCCTCTCTGTACTGCACTACATACAGTAATTTGCAGGCTTGTATTATTTATTAGACTTGAAATGGATGCTTACGCCTTCAGTTGTTCCGGTAATTACATGCAGTCCATCATAAGTTGATTTGATATACATCCCCTGCAGAAAACAAAAAAAAACTTTAACAGGAGTCTGAAAAAAACAGGTTAAAAACAGAAATAGAACACAGGCATTTACTATTCAATCTGGAAGAAAGCAGGGCAGGAGAGACATGACGATAGGTGGGAATGAGATTATAATTCACTTAATTCTGATGTTTATTTACATTTGCCTACATTGACACAGTAGGGCATTCTACTCGCGGCCTTGCTGAAAGCACCAACAGCTGTGCCCCACTTGGGAATTTGAACTGGCAACCTCCTTTGTTACAAGCACAGAGTCCTGACTAATTCTCTGTACTGCTGCTGCCTGTAACAGCTGCTTGACACACTCGCCAAAGATATCTTAGAAAAGACAGAAAACACTGAAGTTAAATAAGTTATGATATTACAGCATCAATTTTTTACAAGTTGATTGTCTGCAATGAAGGTGTGGGTGTAATTGTGGTTAGAACTCTGAACCCATTACCCATAGCATGATAGTCCACTCCATGCAAACACTGCTCCTTGCAAGAGGGACTTTATCTCTTAGAGATAGGCTCTAGCACTGCTGGGGATTAACCTGCAATGAGCTAGAATCCTGCTTGAAGGTATCTAATACACTTAGTCCTCCTAACTCTACAGGAGCTGGGTTCAGGCTCGACACACTCCAGCCCTGTGCCTCACTTCTGGTTGTGAAGCAGTGGCATTTCAATCTGCATGCAACACGGGCAGCAGGTCAGTGAAACGTATCCTGCAGATGAATTGTAATACCGATACTGTGGAGAGCGTTAGGGATACTCTTTGTAACAATGTACTACTCTCACTAGAAATTTCAACATGGTGAAACGTGCTTTAAAAACGAAGTGGCAGGCACTGAGCAATGCTCTCGGCTTCAATCTGTATCTGCAGCTAGGGATTAATTCTGCATCTTCTCGTCAGGAGCAATCCCTGTAAAACAAATTATTGTTTAACTGCAGTTTAAGCCGCTTTTTTCTTTTTTTAATTCGGGAGAACGCTGCACTCAATAGCTAAAGAGGAGCCCCCATAGAGATGCTTATTCGTCAGAGGAGTCCTGAAAATATAATCATAGCCCATGATCATTGTCCACAAAATCTACAGTGCATGCAATGCACACTGGAGCCCTTTGCCTTCTTGTGGTGCAGCACTGTGCTATATAATTCAGTGCAAACTCTTTCCCATCTTCTCTAGATGTTAAAATATATATAACTGTTCCTGCCTACCATTTCTATAAGTCTACAGATTTCAAATCTCTAATCATTTATATAAACCTTATTATTGTTTGCTTTTTCAAAGTGACTTAAAAACACCAGTCAAGCACTGTTCTCCTACCAAGGAAATGATGTGTTTTACTGTATCTTCACTTGGGGAAATCCTGCAAAACATAGTCAGGACAGATTCCGTGTGAAAATTCACTCAACTTTGCTAAGATCTGCTCTGCAGTTAAAAAGAGCATCAGCATAAATGAGCTTCTTTCTCACATCTTTATTTCCAACACATTTCTGCATAACTTAAATCAAGAGCAGCTCAATTCTACTGCAAATGCTTCTGTTCACATTCATATACCGCTGAAATAAACTCAATTTTCCTCCTCTGCCAGACTGACATTTCAAATTACTGAGCTGATTAATCTTTCTTCAGAAGAACAGCGTCTCTCCCAGGATTGATTACATCTTCTCTGGAGCAATTTCTTATTCTCTGTTAAATGAGCTACTGCGAGACGCCAGCAAAACTTTTGGAAACAGAGCAACTCAGACTCCAGTTGGCTATTTTTATTGGGCCTACAGTTTTACAGAAGAGATAAATGTTCTTTGAAATCCTAAAAAGAGGTTTTGAGTGAATTACATTTTCAAATAAAATTATCACAAATCTTTATCTTTTAATATTTGTTGTTTCAGCGCCAAAAACCTTGTAAAATATCCGCTAAGCTGTTTTTCGCCGAGTTTGCATAGGCGATTTAAAAATGGCTGACCCCTTTCATTTCCGCCCGCCACTTTTTGAAAAAAATCTACCCTCGCTTTGGTCAGGAGCACTCAATCCCAGAAGTCAGACCCCTGCACCTTTTTTAAGATGTATGTGACACCGAGCCCAAGCCGAACCCGCATGAGAAGGAGCAATGAAGTTAAGAGAAACGGCCCAGTTAAAGCTTGATGGGAGAAGCAGGGGAAGTGAATGGGAACAGCATAAGACAGGGGACGTCCGCTCCAGGGGTGGGCGCAACTGGCAGGCGCCCCATGCCAGCTCCTACCAGGCCTTCGCTGGGCTTGATGTTGGTCAGCTGCACCACCTCGAGGTGCGCGGACTGGGAGACGAGGGGGTCAGACGACAGGGAGATGATGTGGTCGCACACTCCGGAGAGAGTCTTGCACTGTGGGGAAAACCCAAGGGCAAACTAGTCACAGGGTAACAAAGCACCGGCCACTCAGTACATCACCCGTGTACATAGAAACAGCCCTTCTGCGCCCATAACGCTCACCAGGCTGCAGAAACATGACAGCACTTAAACTCCAGTCTTTCTGCGAGCACCGTTGGGTTCACAGGGACGGCCATGAGCAGTCTCACTCTCGCCAGGGAATAGGCAAAACATCGCATTTCCAATGCTTTTACTTTCATTCTGATTCACGAAATGCATGTTTTTAGCACACACCAGCTCCGCCCCGTCTTTCTCTTTCTCTTTTAAGGGGGGTTTGCTTCTAGTAGGCCAGTTAATCTTCCAGCCCACCTGGAGGAAACGACACGGACGAAGACGCATTTTACACGACAGCGCGAGCCGTCGTCAAGCCAGTCTGAAAAAGACGATTTAAAGGTCTCGGCTGCCAACTGCATTTCTTTTGAAATAAGGTTGCAGTGTTGAGCAGTGCTGGATAGAAGCGCGTTTTCCTTTAAATATCGCTCCACTTGCAGATACACAGATTGAACAAAACATCAGTCTGGGTGGAAGAATCATGGCTGTAACAGTATAAGTGTCTTTTTACTTGATATAATATAGAATATAGAATATAAAATTGGATAGCCAGTGTGCTGAAAAACACATTTCGTTAACAGACACTATTAATGAATTGCTGATGCATAAGAAAAGGATCAGACAACAGAACTCTGCATCAAGGCTAAAGAGCAGTTAGAACAGAGGAAACACACCAGAAAAAAAAAACGAGCTCAAGAATACATGTCAGTTTGAAGTAAATATCTTTGTATGTTCTACAATTTAAACTACAGCAGGATTTTTGTATTGAAAGGCCTGTCGCATGGTTGTGCATCAGCTCCCAGTTCACAGCAGGCTGACAGCAGGAGAAGGACTCTAATGGCGCACTCAGCCCCGAGCAAAGAGGCTTTGACCACACTACGGGGAGCACAGACCGGTTATTGCTTTTGCTTTTATTCCAAACGTGCGGAGCCAAAAATAGCCTGGTCTCTCGTTCACTTGAGTTTTTCCTGTCACCACGCTGCTGGCTGAGGTCCTGCTCCTCCAGCTCCAGATCTGTGGAGCTGCTGGGTGCCTTCACAGTGGTGACTGATTCCCAAAGATTACGGGAAGAGCAGGGGAAACAGTGCTGACCAGTAGTGCTACTGTATATACAGCCGGCCAACAGGCATTTGAGCTCTGCTGACGACTTACATCTTTAAGATACAATGCAAACAAGAACGAGCCATTGGGGAAACGCTGCTCTGCACTGAGGCTCCTACTCTGTCACAGACATTTATACATTTAAAAACGAGAAGCATGTGTAGCACGGTGTATCGGAAAACAAGCTTGAGAAGCAACGTAAGCAATTCAGGCTGTCATTCGGACACTAGTTTCCGACCAAACTGAATTATTTGCCAAACAAACTTTCATTTGTAAAGAGGAACTGTTTGTCTGCTGTAGTTAAAATACAGTCCTGACTGTCAGCCGTGCACTGTACAAAAGGCTCAAATCTATTCAGGTTTATGCGATGCTTTTGCCAAGCTCTGTATGGCCTATACATTATGATTAACACCATGCTATAAAAATTGCTCTTTTATGGATTATAACGAAAGACCATCCCAATAGAAATACAGCTCCTGTTGATTAAGACGGTTCGCTAAGACATTCCCTGCACATGAGCCCCAGTCTCGTCAATAATAAAATCAGCACGTGAAGCCAGTCGGTTCCGGAGCCCTTTTTCCCCCTGCTCACGACCAGAAACGTCCTGACCCGCACCGCTCTCAGAGAGAGTCCTCTCTCTCTGACTAACTGGGGCTCAAGCCTGCAAGCCACAACACTCACACTGCGGGAGGAGAACTTACCACATGAAGAATCTTATTCTCCGTTTCATAAACGGTACAATCCTGCAAGACAAAAACATTCCAATTTAGTTCACATTTCCAGTTAAATGCAATTGAATTCTGTATTCCCATGCTCCCATATGGCATCCTCTGTGTGCAACAAGGATGTGATGACTTACAGAGAGGTTTAAAAAAAGCCTAGCATTCACCCATCTCTAGACTCACATTTCCTCAGGGTTCAACAGATCTTATTTTTAGGCCTGTGAAGTTATGGATCATTTCTTTGATCAGAGGTTCGTTCAAAAACATCTGATTTGCTCACTACCTGTAAAAGAAAGTCATACAATCTCGATTGTACAGTACATCTGAAATGAGTGTGTTGATCTTGAGAGGATCAAGGTGCTTTTAAAGCCAGGTCTTGGATCAAGAAAGCGATGACCTTAAGAATGCCTAAAACATGAAGACCGTTCATGCTCATTCTAACTGCGTTTGGCAACTCAGCTGGTTAATCTCTGTACAGTCAGAGGATTAACGCTAATCACTGCTTTCTACTGGTGTGACTAACTGTGCAAACAAAGGAGCCGATTCGTGATTTCTGCAGCCGGAGATGAGTCAGGAGTGACCTGAGCCTGCAGTATAACAGGGCCCGCAGAGCCCCACTCAAACAGAACAGCCTGGAGAGATTGTTCATAATGCCATCTCTCACCTCTCTCCCACACTCCACAGGGAGTGCATTCTGTCTTTTTATTCTCTCAATGTCACAGATTGTTATCTGTCCATCAAGCAAGCAAAATGGGCTGAACAGCTATGTCTCATTTTCACTGTTCCCTTTATGTTCCTTAAATGCTCGTAGAATGAAGTATCACTACGGTTTCAATATTAATGTTGCCATCTGATGAACACCTACTTAAAACAAAGAGCAGTTTGAGACAACGGAGATGTGGCTAATGCAGTTATAACATAAAATTACTCGAAAGCTACAATGAACCTCTGACCGCTGGATGGTCATCTTTGTGTTGAGTTTAAGTGATTTGCCAATGTCCTGGCAAAAATCAGACTGTCCAAGATCCTGATAGCACTCATTTTGCTGTGCAGCTGATTAAGAGCAGGAATAACCTACTGGAGAAATGGGCAACACTACTAGAACTGAGCTTCATTCTCCACATTAAAGAAAAGATACTGTTGCTCAGGAATCAGTCCAGAGAAGCGCAACCAGGTACATCCCAGGGCTTAAGGGAGTGTCCTACACTGACAGGCAGAAGGCTTTTCAGTCTTGAACAGAGAAGACTAGAAGGAGATCTGATACAAGTATTCAAAACCTTCAGAGGCACTGACAAAGTCAAACCAGTGGACTTTTTCACTAGGAGCAGGGAAACACAAATCAGGGGGCCCAAGTGGAAACTATATGAAAGTGCATTTAAAACAAGGGCAACTTCTTTACACAAAGGGTGGTGGGAGCATGGAACGCAGCATCCAGCCATGTGTTGACTTACTTCAGAACACAGCTGGACAAACCATTGCATGAATTACTTACTGCCTAACAGGCTAGACGGGGCAAATGACCTGCTTTCATTTGTAAATCTTTGAATGTTCAAAAAACATAAAGTACTGTATTTATACCATATATACAGTATATGTGTGTGTGTAGGATTCTGCATAGAGCTGATATTGTGTTAGGATGTGATTCCTACTATCAGCTGCGCTCTGTTTTATAACCACGGCGAGATACCTAAATATAGAAAAAAATTAAATCATTAATGAAACACTTGGATCTAAAATGACCAAGCAGTACCATACCGATTATAGCACCTGTCTCAGGAGTTCTAAGTTTGCTAAAAAAAGATAAAGCATGCTTCAGCATCCTTCCTTCTGCCAGTGTGCACATTCTCATGCAGCACTAAAGTGACTTCTCAGATAAAAATCTGAAAAGGGGACAAGTACTCTAGCTTACTAAAATAGAACTTAACAAAACTGAAAAGCACACACACACACACATCCATGTCAGATTCAGAAAACAGACATGAAGACCAAGCCTGCTCTTGGGATCAATATAATGCAAACAGACTAGCTCATACAATAGACTCCACAGCAAAATCTGAGGATAAGGATTTTTTCTTCTCCTAAAGGGAAAACAATCTAAATTACTTTACGATTCAGGTTCATGTGTTGTATGTTAGGCTTTGGCATGCTTCTTCTGACTTGCTTTACATCTTGAACAGAAGAGGGTTCACCACTCTAATGGTACATCTCTCTAGATTATATGCAAATTCAAGACTCTTTTTTGGAAATCCAAGTTCATCCTTATTATATTCTCTCCCTGCAACTGAGCCTTCAGTGAGAGGGACAGGGCAGCCTCACACACACACAGCCAGTAAACACAGGGACGAGTCTCAGTGAAAAGAGACATTGGCAATTTGGGCTCTGGCAGAACAATACTCACTTCAAGAAGGGCTTACACTTACTGTAGTGAGCTTCACTTGATTCAGAGAAAACTGGAGCTAGGCTGGAGCACTGAGGAAGGCGCTCCTGATTTAAACAAGGGAAAATAACTATCCTTTCAAATGTATATGTCTTTACAATACCTCAAGGGCTAGCACTCAAGGGAGTCTCATCAGGCTTACTCTCTGAAGACTATGCCATTTAAGTCCCTCCCATTCCGAGAATTTTTTGTCTTCTGTCTCAGGTCTTACAGAAGAACCTGTCAGCTTTCTCAGAAATGAGAAGACACCTCTTTCTGCATGTATTTACTTTGCCTCTACCAGCACAAAAAGAAATTTAAATAATCTTTTTTGTTACATGCGGAGGAAATATTCCCTAAGCTTCCGAGCTCTGACAATTCCTCCCACACCTACTGTAACGCAGGAACACATCGATGCCGAAGGTCTAGCTGGGGATTCTATTTATAGGGGCTCAAATCCACATGCTTTTCAGAAAAGGCGTCTTATCAAATGAGACTGGTTCTCTTCTCAGCTAGCAGCACAAGTTTCTATTCTCTGGGCCTCAACTCACTTCAGTAAAACACAGTTGAGCTAAGTCTCTGAGTGCACAACACAGGCAAGCATGGCAGATTCAAACCAGACCTCATGCCCTAAGATGGGGAAGACTAAGCTTTGCCCACTACTTTGCGAAATTATTTAAAGCCGAGGTACACTCTAAGATATATATATACAGTTGTCCAGAGAGTTTAGACGCTATAAGGCTTTTTTCTTGAAATGTTGTTTCTCTGCATATCCCTCCCTGGGTTGCTGAGGTGACAAATTGAAGCAGTGTGATAATAAATGGACCCCTGTGCAGGTATTGATCCGTGACAGCTACAGCTAATGGTCAAGTCTCAACACCCCCAGCTTTCTTCAGCACCAATTCTCTGGGCTGGGGAGCTGTTAACATTGATTGAAAGGATGTTTTTTGAGCTAGTTAGGCGACTGCACAATCGGCGTGCCTTGTCCTCGGCTGAGACTTTTCTTTCAACTTTCTTTCGTCTGGAACATTTGGGACCAGCTAAATCAAACAGCCTGAAATGAATCTGAATTAAAATCCATCTTAAAGTCCTCAGTCAACATCCATTCTTCTCAGTGATCCGTACAACAATCCAACACAAGAGTTTCTGGCCACGCAGTGTCTAATCTGCAGATTTGCAGACAACTGCAGACTCCACTGCTACTGTACTTGGCCATTCATAGGAAACATTTTTTTTTTTCACAAAAAGACCAAAGCATAATAGGCCTCTGGTCATTTATCAATTCTTTGCACAGCCTTGAGTTTAATAAAACAATCCATCAACTTCTAATTATGTAGCCTTGCACGATATGGGGATGTTGTGTTGGAATATCCAAAGCCGTGGTGAGATCTTGTGAGGAATAAATCTAAACTTGTCTAATCTGTCAGCAAAAGGATGTCAGACTGTTTTGTTTAACAGCTCCCTGTTGGATTTGTGAAGGATTTTGTTTCCCAGTCCAAGAAGTTGTTCATCTGCATTCTGGTTGTTTATCCTCTCCCACTGAGAATCGAGTTAGCATCCCACCAGAGCTGTCCTTGTGCTGAGGAGGGAACTCCACCATTGGCAGGCCTGTTAGTGTCTGTTCCATTGTTGGCCACCAGGGGTCACAATTTCAAACTTCAACGCTTCTACACCAGTGGCTGCAACCAGCTGCCTAAGCAATCTGCAGCCCACATCTTGCCCTAGAAAGTTGTAAAAATATAGGAAAAGCTCAGGTGTTGCCCAATGTACATGACAATTACCTGTTGTACAATGGTGGTCAGCTCCAGGCACAGCTGAATGACGTTATTCCTTGTGACAGAGTAATCTGTCACTGCAGCAAAGGGAGACCTGAAAAAATAATAGCATCTGGAATTAAACCATTAGAAAATTCTTTTTCAGGCATCCAATACTTGACAAAATTCCCTTGTGTCATTGAATCATTATGGCGACTCTATGTATGTGCACGTGTTTGCACAGTAATGATTCCAAGGGCCAAAGGCACGTTCGTAGTGTCCGCAAAACACCAGAATGGACCCAGCCCGGAAACGTCTGTGAGCTGTCACAGCCCCACCCCACCCTGCCACTGGAAATCTTTCGCCTTTCCTTCTCTGGAAAACGGCTCCTCTGTCACCTTCCTACAGGAACTCTTGATACAGTCAGCACCCAATCGGGCCTGTCACTCTCCCCTGCTGTACACCATGTGGAAAGCTGACATTTATTTTAAAACGGCTTTGATGCAAGTTGCATCACTGAAAATAGCCTTGGGCAGTCTAAGATTAGAGCAGTTCTCCAAAATATTTGGATCTTTTTTCAGTCTGGTGTAATTTTTTGTGTCATTACAAGAAACACAACAGAAAACACAAGGCTCACTAGACTAGATTATATAGTAAACTAAAGTCTATATTGCCAAACGTTATTATTATATTTGTGTGTACTAAATTATACATCACTAGCCTGAAAATGTACTTTCCTTTTCAGAAATGTTTTCTAGCGTTTGGCTTATTTTCTGTGTCTTCCTTGTTCTCCTGGCTTTGGAATTCTCTCTGGCTTTTTTCCATGTAATTTTATTCTTTATCATAAAGCGCTTTGGGATGATTGCTGTTAATGGTTTCTATCTGAAGTAGCTTATAGTCATTATTATTACATCAGCATCTGAAAATGTGGCAACCAGTATCTGATAAGCACCTACTCACACAAACAGGCATTTAGTGAGAACATGAATTCTGTTTAAACGAGCACAGCTGTCTCTTTTACTCCAGGATTCAGCGAGCTTAAGGGAAGAAAAAAATACTAAAAATACTTGAAATATTACGCACACACTCGCTCCCCAAAGACCAGATTGAGCATCTTGCAGGCCAGGAGGGGATGTGCGTTTTTACAGCAGAACTTCAATTTATCTCATCGGAGCTTTTCACACTTTTTATAAACCTCTGAGCTAATTTAGAAAATATAGGCCATTTGCATCGAGGTTAGGAACAAGCTCGAGGAACACATTGACTTTTTTATTTTTAAACAGTTCACCGGTTTTACTTTCCAAGACAATAGTACAGTACAACAGATGAAAGCAGTTGTTTTCATTCTCTGACGGTTTCACCTGACCCATTTCGCTGCTCTCTAGTGAAGCCGCCACTGTTTTCTAAGAAACGCCACTCACCCTCCTATGCAGTTTGGCAGCTTCAGGATATTCTTGGAATTGTTTTTTTAATGGAAAACTAATTTGACTGGCCTTTACAGCTGTCAAAGCATCAGCTCTCTTAAGAGATAGAAAGTTGAAAGTTAGTGCTGCGATGAGGAGCGGTGGTAAATTAAGAAGAATGGGCTGCTTTTGTCTTTGCACAGAAAAACTGAATTAGTTTCACCGAGAGTGACTTGAAATGGAACATGCATTTCTGTGATGCCTGCAGGACATTTCACAAATTTGCCGGACTAAGCTACCGTATGTGATATAACATTGGAGCATGATGCATAATAACCCCAATGCCCCACCCATACTCCACCCACACCACCATATTAATACTCAAAGCCCTTCCCTCAGGAACAAGATACAACACAAAGTCTCTGATGGCTTCCTCCTGTACACTTCTCCATGGCTAGTCATATTTTTGGAATTTATACAGTTACACACTACTCTTTGGTTACTACTACTCATATTAGAATGTATACAGTTACACACTGTCTACTCTTTGGCAGACAGAACGCATGACTATTCGCACTTCGTTCAAAATGAATTCTATACATTTTTTAAATTGTTTTACAACAGCCGAGTCCTTTAAGGGCTGATCTCTCCTGCATTTTTCACATGTGTTATTGTGTAATATGAAATTAGGTTGATTGTCTCCTATTTGCAAAAGAAATATTAGCTCGGGTACAGCAGCTTTGTCCATATCCTGTGGGCACCACAGGAGTGCCTTATTTTGGATTCTGGATGACCTGTACAGGAATATGCAATGTGTTAATGCTGAGCTGGATTAAGCTTTAAGACCACCAAAAGCTTTCTGCTTGCTCCGTAGCAGATACAAAAGGAAGTAGTATTTCCGATTTTTACTTGGATTTTGAACACACTTAATCTTTGCCCCAAAACTCCAAAATCAGTAACAGCTGATCCCTAAACTCACATTCTAGGACAGAGTGTTAGCACTGATTAGGCCGGTGTAAATTGTTCTAGCACAGGCTGGAAAGAGAGCAGTGGGAGCACATTAACAAAGCTTTTTCCACAAGATTGTCAGCTTGTCTTTAATGCTTCACTGTGGAGTCTGAAGCTCCTAATCCTGTCCCACATTGGCCACAGCTTTTAGGATTCGTGTCCATCCACATCCTCTTCGAGAATGAAATGGAACTCCGCCAGGCAGGGCTGAGATCACAGTGCCACTCAAAAGTTGTTGAGACATCAGAAATGATAGAGGCTCGGTTGAGTGAGTGAGAATCAGTTTGCTCCCAGTCATGGAGGTATACTTCAGCCAGAACAGCAGCAGTTGGGAAAAGTGGTCAGGGCTCTGGACCTCTAACTAGGGGGTTGCGGGTTCAAATTTCAGATAGGCCCAGCTGTTTGCTCAGACTGTTTGGATGAACAGCCCAGCTGCATCCCTGGGTACAAATGTGAGATGCTTTGGACAAAGGTAGCAGCCAAACAAAATACCAGCAAATATTGGCAGAGGGACAGATAAAGATGGGTTATTAAAATTCTTGCAGTGCAGATTTACGCACCTTGGCTGCCGTGAAGACTGAAGTTAAAATTCAGTTTCACAAATAATGGCCGTTTCTATTTTTGAGCAACCCTTTCTGTTGAATGCTGCATAATCATCATCATCTATCTTCGTGTTACTTTCTTCAACGGTGACACTCAGACACTCCCAGAGGGAGCGCACTGGGACACAATGGGACTTCGTTCAGCAGCTGATGACTTTTACAAAAAAAACGTCCTTCCAAAAATGACCTTTGAGCGTCGCCCACTTAATTCCCCTGCACGCAGACGGACGTGGCTTTCAGCGAGCTAAAATAAAGTTCATTCCAATGCCAAACAATAACCGCCGTCAACCAAAGAGAGGATCCAGCCCTATTGAAATTTCCAGAGCAGCTGCAGGTCAGCGAGGTCATGTCACGATCGCTAACCCCTCCTCTTAAGGGAGCTCCAGCCCTTCCTCGTTCCTTCCCATTCTCTGCACCTGTTCCCTATTCCCGTTCCCCCTTTAAAACCCAGACGCTGACCTCACTCCTGGCTTCTCATTGATTTCCGTGTCGTGAGAGCCCGGGGTCCTGCTGCGTCTGGCTCCGTTATGGTTTTAGTTTCAAGTTCCTGATTCCTTGTCCCGCCGGTCCCGACCCGGTTCTGGTTTTTAACTACGGATGGATCCCCTGGTCTTGGACTCTGCCTCCCATTTTGGATTTCCCTGTTGGATTTACCCTTGGATTATTCGCCCTGGATTCACTCCCCCCGGACACTAGCACTGCATGGACACGTTCCCCTGTCTCCTGACCGATTCCTGCATGATATTTTTCCCCTTGTGTCTTCACTATTCTGGATTGCGTCGTCCGCATAGGGCCCGGAAAGAACTGTTCGTGACAGGTCAGAGGATTCCTGGGAAACAAGCAGTTGGGATCACAGCTGTCAGCGGGCTGCCCATCCTAATGAGATTAAAAGGCTAAAAGCACCTTGACTTGCATTAAAACTCACACGTCTCAGCAGCCGTTTGGTTACATTTCTGCCTCCTTGAAGAGAAAGGCTGTGTGTGTGTGTGTGAAACGGCAACGTTACAAAATTGAAGCCGAAAAGCTTATCTTCTAAATCTGAAGAAGGTAACATAAACAAGACTGACAGTAACGCAATTACCCTATTGATTGGGTACACCCAGAGTGTAAACTCTTCGGAAACAGATCATTTCCTGCATTGCTTTTAATGACATAACTAGTCTTTTCATTTCAGAAAAGCTATCTGAGCTTGTTTTGTGTTTTTCTGGCCTTTCCTGCGCTTTAGAACATAAGTGCAGACACTCATGAAAGGAGGCCACCAGGCCCAGTTCAGCCCTTCCTTGAGAGCGTATCCCTTTCATCAACAGGGCAGGGCAGCTTGTTCCAGACTCCCACAACCCTACACGGTGCCTCCTGTTCTCAGCTTTAAATGTGCTTCTAAGTGTGATGCCACAGGGGGCGTTTCTGTTACACCAGCTGGGCTGAAGTCTTAACATCCAGTCCGTTTTACTTCCCTCTTCCACCGTAAACCTGCATGGTACTTCCGCAGTCTTCTCACTCTAAGACAAAAACACGGACAGACTGTCACAGCAACACGTAGGCAAAGCAGGAATGTGAGCTCCAATTAATCACAAGCCATGAGAACAAGCTTCCAGCGCTAAAAAAGTGACATAACACTTTAGTCATCTTTTGTTTGTTGTACTCTGCCACACAGAGAGTTACATAAGGAAATAAACAAGGTTTTTACTTTTCAGATTCATACTTCAATACTTCCACACATTAATAATAATAACTGCTTACGCTTATAAAGTTCTTTTCTGGACACTTCACTCAAAGCGCTTTACAGGTAATGGGGATCCCCTCCACCACCACCAGTGGGCAGCCCCACCTGGATGATGCGCCAGACCGCTCACCACACATCAGCTATCAGTGGGGAGGAGAGCAGAGTAATGTAGCCAATTCATAGAGGGGGATTATTAGGAGGCCATGATTGGTGAAGGCCAAAGGGGAATTTGGCCAGGATGCCGGGGTAACACCCTTAAATTTTTCAAGAATCACACTGGGATTTTTGAGAGTCAGGACCTCGGTTTTACATCTCATCCGAAGGACGGCGCTATTTAACAGTATAGTGTCCCCATCACTGTACTGGGGGATTAGGACCCACACTGACCTCAGGGTGAGAGCCCCTACTGGCCCCACTAACATCTCTTCCAGCAGCAACCTTAGTTTTTCCCAGGAGGTCTCCCATCCAGGTACTGACCAGGCTCACACCAGCTGAGCTGCAGTGGGCTGCCAGCTCTGAGTGGCAGGTGATATAGCTGCTGGCATTGCAACATTAACCAAAGTCTTGCCGTACAGACTAATGTGGATCATACTTATGGGTCTTTAACAAGGTACAAAGGAAATATCCTGTGCCACTTTAAACCCTTAGAAGCAGACAGACAAATTATTTTGCACCAGGGCATCAAATATCTCATTTGTGCTTGTCCATGCAGCATCTGACAGAAGCAAACTTGAAACCTCAATTAGCTATATTGTTGTCATGGCTTTGATAAATGTACCATGATCCTGGCAGAGCAAAGCTTTTGCAATGCTGAAGGTGCTGGACATGCATATTAAAACCAGCGAGACACCAAAAACCAGACTATGAAAACACCGAGAACAGTGTCCAAACATGAAAACACTATGTACTTGAACAAAGCGTACTTGGAAAACATAGTCCTTGGGATAAGGAGATTAACCGATTAGTTCCAACCTAATCTGCACTCCAGACATGAAAGTGAATTTAAAACCCAGAACAGAACTTCTTTACGTGAAAGGTTGTGGGGGAATGGAACAAGCTTGCTAGTCATGTTGTTGAATGCAACGCCCTGGTTTCTTTCAAGAAACAGCCAGGTGAGCTCCTTGAATTCATAAAGCCCTAGCTGGCAAATGGGTCAAGAGGGGCAGAATCGGTCTCCTCTCACTTGTGTCAGATCTAGTGGGATAGTTTTTGGCAGTGGAGACCAGGGATGACACAACAGCGAGTCTTTCCTTCTCAGAGCTAAAACAGAAACACTAAAAAAAAAACCTAAATGAAATAAGTTTAAAATAAAGGGAACCTGGCAGAAGACACTTTTGATATAAGAGCGAGACGGAGAATTTTAATTAGAAGACGTCTCAGATTACACAAGATTATTCAAGGCAGTCAAACTGATTACGTTTATCTGGCAATGAAAAGGGCCTTTATCTCAGTGCAGCAGGCAGCCACTCCCTCTCTGTCCTATTATGGTATTCTAAAGCCGATATTGAGTGAAGGGACCAGGGCTTCGGGGAGAAACATGAATTAAAACCATGCGTTTGAGTAACTGATGAGCACGGAGCTGACTGCAACACGGTCGCTCATCACAGCACTGCATCACTCTCCCTAGCAACCGAGCGGAATTCCTCTCCACGCTGCAGCCAGAGAAACTGGGATTTCGTCTCATAGATGAATAAATACAGGAACACAATGAAACCGGTGGAAACTCAGGTGGAACGACTGATACTGGCTGGGAGGACACTAGAAGGGGGCATTTTGCAAGACTTACCTATCCAGCCAAGCTAGCAGGCTCTTGGCTGCCCCTATCAGGTCGACCACTGACGTCAGGAAGTCGTTCGGCAGCTTTCTGGTGGTTCTGCCATCGTAGTGTCCGCTCCTCCTCCGGCCGGTGATGAAGTTCTGCAGGTTTTTGGCTGAAGCATTGAGCTTGTGAGACAGCGTTTTAAGGTTTTCGGTTTCCAGACCATAGTTCTACAAACAGAAAAGGACAGGGTGGCCTCTTAGGTATTGCTGTTACAGGCCCTTTGCTCATCTTCTCTGACTAAGCCAGCTCGCTGATCCAAACTGCTGTCCCTGATAAGGAGATGCGTGTCTTTTGTTCTGGGATCATCGTCCTGTACAACCTAACCTCAATCTATTAAAACTGCTAAAAAAAAAGTTCCTGCTCTGTTTTTTTTTTTTTTCTGCACAGTACAGTCTGTGCTGTAAGGATCCTTCTGGCAGGCAGTACATATTTAAAATAAGCAAGAACCTCAGAGTGACTCGACTGGCTCACCTGTGATGTAATCGAGAACGCCTTGGCACATTTAAAGCTCCCAGAGAACTCAATGGGTCCAGGGAGGATAAACTGACCCAGTACTGTTCCTTCTTCTTGGTGGTCTGATGGTCCAGCCTGCGACTGCTCACATTAATGGACCATGTTGTTAATTTAAGATATACTCTCTCCGAGTAGCAAACGGTATCTGAAAACAGTCTATTTACTTGAAGCGCTCCCGAGCATGCAGCCTTCAGCTGCTGAAAGGAAAGCATGCACCGTAAAGGGCTGATGCACTAAGACAGCTGGCTTTGCTCCTGTCAGGTGTAAAAATTTAGGTCACTGTGTTTGAAATGCGCAGGCAGTACAGTGGAATATTCAGGTTCCCTTTCAGCAATACAGGGAAACCACAGTGAGCCATGGGCTCCAGGTTCCTGTAGCAACATCATCTCAATCTCAGCCTTTGTTAGCAAAGGCATTCTAATGAAATTCATAAGCTTCTACCGCAGAGAGCATTGCCCGTGTGCAGCACTGAGTTTGCCAAACAGTAAACCCAACCTGAGAACAAATTTCTACGACTCTGGTTGACTTAAAATATGATTTTCTTAAGAAAAGAATGAAACGTTGAGATTAATATAAATTTCTCTTTGTCACTCGATCAGATTCATAATATCAGACATCCCAAGATTCAGATTTAGACCAATACCATAAATACACACCCAGGGCATACAATTCAAGTTGATTTATTTTTGGTAACCAAATGCTTCACTAAAAATGAATAAAAACACAGCACTGCCTGTAGCAGCTATGTCCTTTGCTATAGTTCTTCCCTTTTAACAGTTTGGCAAACACTACAGAATATAACAGTACATTGTTCATTTTTATCTCATCAAAAGGGTTCCAACTTTTCTCTCTGCTTGTCTGAGCACTGAGATGATAAACCAGGCAAAACTACAGGCAGCAAAGTCACACATGTCAGCACACAGAGCCTGTAACTGCCAATCACTTGTAAAATACTCCATGACCTCCATAAATAAATTAAATAAACTCTAGAAGACTGCAATCTTCAGTCCTGCCAGTGAGCTGATAGTGGAAGATGGGGAAAAATTGTTCTCCATAGACAAAGCAAAAAATAAACAAAGAAAGAACAATTCTGTATGAAAGACCAAGCATATGAAGGAAAAGCATAGACAATTCTGCAGTCACCCTTATCCCAAATTCAAAAGTTGTTTACTCTCTTTTTGCACTAATTTAGCACATGTGCTTTCAGCATCTTCCAGAGCCTGGCCTGGCCCTGTACAAGTGTTTTCCCCCAGCCCATAGTCTCAGTTCTGCAATGGGAGCATGGAACAAGCTACCCAGCCATGCGAGCCAACACACTGGCTTTTTTCAAGACATTTCTTAATGAGACCCTCAGACAGTATATCAATGGGCTACAATGGCTTGTAAGGGATGGTACAGTAACTATTCTTGTGCCATTAAGCCCACCCCTTAGCTTCCAAGAGAGAAAGAAACCTTAATTTTCTTTCATTAATTTCATTAAGGGCTTACCATCACGGTAGCACTTCCTTCCAGGTGTATCATACTACACATGGAATGGAACACACATTACAACTCAAAGTACTGTACATGCATAACACTGAAGCAATTTTCCCCTGGGCATGAGTGTCCAGCTTAGCTTTGCTTCGATATTTTGCTTCAACATAATCCTTTCAGGGGTCTTGCAAGGTCGGTATCACATGGAGTTTGTGCACTTTTAGAGCACCGTTGCTGTTCTCCTAAGGATCCAACGCCATTCATCTCCCTCTCTGCATGAGGCAATGACGGCCCAGAATTCCAGCACTCTGCTGAGGAGAGTAGCCCTGCTGTGCACCTCCCTCGTGTGAGGATTCAGAAATAATCCAACTGTAACTGAGAAACTGTGACACAGCTTGGTCCTGCAATTCATTACAATTCTATTTCAAACCCAGTTTTAATTAGTATCAGTCATATTATTGCTTAATGTTGTCTGCCGGTAGCCAGTGTCAATTAAAAAAATCTTTCTGTTTATTCCTTGTTCAGACTAGGGGACAGATAAGGGGAAATAGATACTGGACACTAGACATCTGCAGTATCCTAGTATTTTTCCTAAAGGTGTTGGGAGAGGCTCGGGAAAAGCGCACACTAGATTATGAGGACGCACTCCCTGCCCAGAGGCTCTCATTTAGGTCACAGTACAGGTGCAGGACCAGACAAGTATCAGAGAATCCTTGTACTGTGCAAACGTGAATGCAGGGTTCTATAAGCTGCATGTGAAGGAGAAAATAAAAATGCAGACAGGTTTCGATGTTTCTCTCCTTTGGATCACGCCAGTGTGGCTGCTGGGGCCTGCTTTCGGTTTCCATGGAGACGGGTCTCTGCGGCTCGACGGGGCCTGAACGGCAGGTGTTCCCATTTCCTGGGACACAACTCGAGAGCCCCCCGAGTCTCCTCGGAGCGGACAAAGCCTCGCTGAGCAGCAAGCTGGCCCGCCTTTAAAGGCAGAAACATTAACAAAACAGAAATGCCGCTCAGCGTGTTGCGGAGCTCGGGTGGGAGGGAGAGACGTTTCTACGCATTTGTTCTAAAGGAGAAGGATGAACTGTCACGGGAACGCTAAATAAACACCTGTGGTCTGAAAACGAAAAAGTCTACTTGCCAGATGCTATTATCCAAAGCACCATACAGACACTAGGGAGCAATCCGTGGTATCCACAAGCACCACTGTGGATTCACTGCAGAAGTTCTTATCTCAACACGAGGATGTTTGATACCTTTCTAAGGATAATGCACATCGAGTCACAACAGGGGTGAGAGCTTGTTGCCAGGGACCTCCTAGTAACTTGCGTGTCAGCCTGTTACCTGTTACCGCGTGTTAGCGTGTTAGCTTAATGCTGGTCTGTTTTAACACTCGCGGTCTTCCGAGGACACTCCCAGGACGCACCAGAGCCAGGATGCTGCTCTGGCGCTGGGAAGGGGCTCACACCTGTCGCTGGACTGCCAATCCAAGCCAGGCCCCAGCCTCCCGGGTGCCCCGGGCCAGGCCGTTCTCCCCAACATCCCCCCCTTCCCGTGAATCCCTGCTCACCTGACGCGGGAACGGATCAGCCCAGCGGAATGACTGAAGGAAGTGGGTGACAAACTCGGATTGTTCCGGGGTACAGGGGGAGGGTGGAGCCACGGTCAGAAACAGATTCAGGAAATGACGTGGACACCACAACATAGCGACGGCAGAGAAGGGGAGTCCCTGAATTTCCTGTTCGTTCGATTTAGCCACGTTCTACTCCACGTGAATGAAAACACACAGAGTAGCAAGCAAGCCTGGGACTGCGCCCGGCGTGGAGCCTGCTGCTCACACCATCTTCATCACAAGCCTTCACGGCTGTGCGAGGCACTGGAGGCCTGGGAGGCCAAGGCTGGGGCACCCTCCTGCCCCGGGGTCAAACGCCCTGCTCTGCGGCGCACGCAGGCTGCCGGCTCGCTGATTTAAAGGGCACCAGCAGGTGAGCAATCATTTTTCATATCAGCTGATTAAAAAAATATGCAGCCTCCAATGACGTAAGGGCTTCGAGAATGAAGCGTTTCTCCGTGCCTGAGGTGGGTGGGGGGGGGAAGGGGGGGACAGAGTGCCTGTTAGATGAGATCCTCCTCAGTTGCACGCTGACTCACATGCTTCTCGGGATCCTCCGGCGTTAACCCCTGGCCTGCTGCGTGTTCAGCTCATTGTGCAGGCGTGTGTGCTTCACTTCCTGTTCAATGGGGTTTTTTTTTTCCCCAACAGCCTCTGAGGATTCCAGCAGCTTAAGCCTCCCGAGACAAGGGGAACCCTAAGCCATTAATACACAAAAAAAGCTCCCAACGGCGCTAGAGTATAAATAAACAAGCTGACCGCAGCGAGGGGGCAGAGCTGAGGAGGGCTGGTAATAAAAGTGACAGGATGATGAAGCACAACCTCACATCTGCTCCCAGCTTCCTAGCCCAGCGTCTTAACGCTCAGTGGCGTGTCTATCACAGCTGGGAGGCTGAGGGAGCGAGAGCTGAGCTCAGCTACAGCGTGCGGTGTAAAATGAGAATCCCAGCTAAAACCGTCACTGCTACTGCTGTATAATTAACACTTGGCGCCCCTCCTCTCACCAGAAGAAATCCGCCGCCCATCCAAAACTGCCGACGAACGAAACCGCTTGCACACGGCAGAAGGAAACACACTCAGGCTGGAACAGGACATCAGTTCCTCTCCCCCAGAAAACCTGCCTGCTGCAAAACTCAACGACCTTGAACACCACAGGCAAACATTCATCAAAAACACGTTTTTAGGGGGAATATTTGCAAACGTCTTGAAGAAAGAGGTTCTACCTTTCCTTACATGAGAATAATAAAACAGGGCCCCTGGATCTGAAATAATAAAGGTCTTTTACGTTCTCTATCAGGTAATTGCCAAAGTGCCTGGATGGGATGGCTCAGTATAGAGATCTATCCTCCACTCTCTAATTTCATATGATTAAAGTATAAAACAAAAGAATAAGAACAACGTTACTGGAAATGTCAGGACTTTGAATAAGATGCATCAATTGAGAGAGGTAGGGGGGAAATCTTTTCCCCAGCTGCCACCTCTACTCCCCAACCCTTCAGTGGGACAGGCTAGGTGATTCGCAAGCTTCCAATCAGTCGAACATTTAGCCCACTGCTTCTCCGTTCTGCCACCAAAGCGCATGTGCCATGCTGTCCAGCAATAGCGCACTGCCAACGGGGCTGTCTGGGGCTGCTCTATCAATTAAGAGCGTGCTACCAGCACAAGGGTAGTGGAGGTGTTGTTGCCCTGAGAAAGTATTTGGTTATATGGTGAGGGAAGCTCAAACACTAGCAGATCAACATGTTAGACGCCCCCAGTACAAAATAATAGATTGTGCCAGTAGCAAGAAATGGGTGATTAGCCTGAAGGTCATGAAAGAGAACTAAGTACTTAGATAAAGATACTTAGATACTGGTATCTCCTTGCCCAGGCAGAATAATCAATCCTATTGCAACCTGGTGAGACCGGAGGAACATGCAGTTCTTTCACTTCGCTAGGAGAAACAGGAGGACACCACGCTGCAAGTACTCCAAGATCTCGTGGACCACACGCCCAAAACCTCCTCACAGAGGACCAACACGTTAAGCATGAGGGGTTCTAATAGTGTGGCCAGTCAGTGCAGTGGAAGGTTTGTGGCGAGAGAGACAGGCTCAGCTCAGTGCACTTTGTGGGACGCCTGCTACAGAGGTGTGACAGGGTTGCAGCGTGTTCTCCGGTCCCGGCGCAGGTAAAACGTACCAGAGCACAGAGCAGGTCCACAGCCTCCAGGATGAGCTCCTGGTGGCCGATTCGTGACACCCCCAAGTCCTCCAGCTCCTGGTGCGTGATGCGGAGGAGCTGGTCGCCACTGATCTTCTCCCTCTCGAAGTTCTTGATGTACTGCTGTAGGCAGTCATCCAGGCCTGCAGGAAAAATCAGATCAACATGAACCGTCACTCCCCTGTGAAAGCACAACTTCCGCTCACCTCTCGGCCAGAAGATGCAGCGGTCTCCTGAGTTTTCAGAGTGAAAGGGAAACTGGAGTCCCAGTTTCTCAGACCAGTTATTAAATCCCGGCAACAAAATTAATTCCTTGACGCGATAGAAAAAAACTGACAAATTTCGAATAAAGCACAAAATCGTGAACTTTGTGAAGGTGCTGTAAGCCCCCTTGTTGTTGCCAACTCACATTCGAGTTCCCACGAACTGTGACATGAGTCGGCCCTTCCTGCTCACTAGTCTCCCGAATGACAAATCTACTTTGATGGACAGTACGAGCGTATAAATACGGGCTGTGCAGTAGACATTTCACTGCAGAAATGTTGCAACGTGATCTCCATGAGTTAACAAGTAAGTAGCATTTGTCAGCAAAACCATCTTAAAATCAAGAGCAATATTTGTTTGGTATTAAAAAAGCTGTATTCACAAGCCTGCTTGTTTACAGTGTTATAGAGTTGCACACATCAACGGAAGTTCTGTTGCCTCTTTCTGAATCACAGCATATGGCCCTGCTCATACCTGGGAATTTCCTCTATTATGGGGTGTAAACTGGAGGACTGACGTGCTACTGTGTCCATTTTGCTATCATTGTGGTTCGAAATGACATTTATCGATGCAGATTCTTTTAAACCCCGAAATATAAAGACAACGTTGCAGTTCCCTTTTCAATATTGAGTTATTAATACCTTTGTGCCCATTTCCCCTGGAGGTATCTGAATGAGATTCATCCGAAGAGTCTAAATAGCCAGCACCAAGGACAGTTCCCAAGTCTCCCTGAGCCACAGTGCTGCTCTGATGCTGCTCTGTTACTGTACAGTATATTTAGAACCGGGTGCTAGACAAATAAATATAGGGGAATCAAGGTCTTTTTTATGAAGACACCAGATGGCCACATTATTTCAACTCTTTCCAGTGACCCTGGAAAAGACAATATCAAAGCTATCTATCTATTAATTATAATTACTCATTTAATTGCATAATTTCATGCATTCTCTATAATCACCACTGGCAGTATCAAGGACAAAGGGTATGGAAAGTATGCAAAAATATTTTCCATTTTTCACATCAATACGCCCACATCGAGGTGCTATTCATTCCTGTTTCTCTTCGGCATGTGGAATGGAGTTCCCTCCGTCAAAGTTTTGGTTATGAACTGGTCCTTGCAAGGTTTGATTCCTGAACAGGTGATTTGTTTTTTATTTTGCACTTTTCCAAAGCAAACGTCCTAATTTATTTCACCCTTATTTCAAGGTAACACACAGAGAAAATAGAGCAGGTGAGGGTTGAGTGTTCTCATGGGAGGGACAAATGTACAGCTGTTGGAGAACCTCACGGATCTGCAGCTGGGCCACTGCAATGAGCTGCAAAGGCTATTCAAAGAGAACATTCAGGCCTGGGCAAACACCTGTCAGACAATGTTTAATGTAAATATCAGCAGAGTTTTACATGAAGGTAGCAGAAACATCCTCCAACCAGTCAGATACTAGTAACCAAACGAGCCAGCCTGGCCAATAGCTTCCTCTGGCTTGCCTCCTTGGTGCTCTCCATCCATCCATTTTCCTAGCGCTTTGTCCAGCACAGGGTCGCAGAGGAGACAGAGCCTATCAAGCTGCTTAAATGATGAGTGTATCTCGAACACGCCTCCTGTTCGTGTTGACAAAGTTAATCCTCGCTTCAGCGGGACTAAAGGGCAAGTGTGCTGAGAGATCAGCGAAGTGTCGTTACTCTGCACAGCTCTCGCTCTCCAAACAAAGGGGCAGAGTGCCGGAGGACTCATCAGAGACGCGCTAGCACGAAGGAAAACCGCAGCAAATTCTTCCTGTTTCTCCAGCTCCGATGGGGAGATAATTTCACAGCCTGTGTTTATTCAGTTTTGACAATTTACTTTCATTCAGGAACATTTGTACTGTTTCCATCCCCTGTTGTACAGGAATAAAACCCTTGTTTTATGCTGATGGAAAGAACAAGGTGGATTTATATCTAGGGCAACCAGGTTTAAGCTGGAGAATGAATGAGCAAGGCAGTAGTCCGGGGGACTCAACCCAGGCTCACACGCCATACAGCAGTACTGTCAAGTCACCGAAAAGAGCTCCTTGACTCCAGCAGGGCAAACATCTGGTTCACCAGTGTTGAGGAGGGAGACTGCACATCAAACAGAACTCTACAGAGAACTAACTGTCCATTCAGAGTGCAGCCATCTCCAACACTCCTTTTGTTCATGCGGGGGAAAAGCTACAAGGGTTTTTGGAGGAGGGCAGAACGAGCGAGGAAGCAGAGACTCTGCAACACAGTGGAAGGGAGAACGGTGCCGGTTCCCTGGACAGACATCCCAGTACAGGTGGATAAGAGGGACTGGCGGAGGCAGGGGGCTCCAGAGGGGTCAGATTCCGACAGTGGGCCTCGGTGAGCCTCGGCAGCACAGATCAGGATGCCACGCACAGTCTGGCAGGTAGCAACGGATATACAGTATCAACATTAAATGAAAGTTTCTGCGGGCCAGATTGCAGCTGCTTTTAGGGAAGAGGATGTTGCAGACACAGTGTCCTGACGTGACCATCGTCTGGAGAATAATTCGAAGCACCAGGGCGAGCCGATAAATTGCTATCTCCAATACTGCAAACCCTATCTCTCTTTCCATCTGTGATTTCTGGCATCTCAGCGAGGGCAGAAGAGCTGTAGGGTTAATCACACATGTGCACTGGTCCTGTATGATTATAGTGTGTGTCCTCTCTTAGGGTGTCTCCTATAAACTGTTTTCAGAGTGTTGCATCATTTGCAGCATAAAAGCACCAGGTATAAAACAGACTCCTTCAGAGGCAGTAAATCGGTAGGGCACATGTTGCTGAAGTGTGTCTTTTACTACTCCAAAATGACAGTTGTTTTGTATTACTATAAGCAGAGCTTTTTTGATATGGCAAAATACTTAACGGTCTATCACTTCCAATGCCCCCATTTCTGTTTCTTTTCTTAACGATACGTTGAATAAAATAGATTTAACCTTTTTCGCAGAAGACAAATGTGATCCATGCTCTATAGCTGGCAGTGCAGAGGATGCAAAAACAGCATGAGATGAAAATGAATCACTTTGGTGGCATGTTACATACTGCACAATCTGTATTGAAATACAAGTCTTGTAAAAATAGACCAAAAGCTGATACCTTACAGCACTCTGCCTGTGCTATTTACAAACACCTCTAGATTCATCTGGTTCCCAAACACCAGATATACAGTATCACCATCAAGAAGCCCTCCAGTGTGGACAACCGGCAGCAAAATCTGTCGCTCTGCCGGCTGCATTATAATGCGAGCAAATGTCCACATTAGCACCCAAAAGAGATGAGCACCACGAGCACCACGCCCACACAGGGCCACGCCCCCTGCTGTGAGCTGCTGTCTCCTCTGCTTTACTGCACAGCCAGGTCAGGGCCAGCCCATGCCCCCACTCAGACAGAGAGAGTGGACAGCAGGCCGAGGGGAAAGCTTCCACTCCCCCTGTCGGACAACATGGAAGAGCATTTAAAACCAAGGATGGGAGGCACATCTTTACACAAAGAGATGTAGGAGACTGGAAGAAGCTACCCAGACAAGTTGCTGAAGCTGTTCACCTGGATTCTTTCAAAAACCAGCTCGGTGTACCTACTAACTACCAAATGGGCTTGGTGGACTGAAAGACCTCCTTTCATTTGGAACCCCACTTAAGATATTATATCTAACTCTCTGGATTTATCCCTAGACTGGCTGTCATTATTTTGCTATACCTTTGACTTTTGACAAAAAATACAGTTGCAGGAGTAAAGGCCTGGACATCTTCCAGGCAGTTAAAAACTACAGAGCCCCACCCCACCGCTGCCAAGATCAATCCCTAGATGAGGGAGGCATCTGTCTGCCAGCAGGTCAGTTCTCAGCTGCAGCCCTGCCTCCAGGGGTCCTGTTCTGGAACTAGCGACATCAGACCACCTTCCCAGTAAGAATGGAGACTGGGGACTTGCACAACCCACTCTGAGTGGGTGTATGGAGAAGAAATCCATGGTTACGTCTCTGACAGTCACAACGATTCGCACTGAGCCTCAATCAACGCCATTTGAACAGAGTATCAAGGAGGGCTGCAGTGAAAAGCAGGAAGACGAGTGGAGACTGAGATGGAAATGAGAGAAAACGGCAGCATGCAAGGCCTAGGACTGAGAGAGGAGCTTGAAGAAATTCCATAACTCCGGCACTTGAACCTCAGGCAGACAGCTCTTCTCTGCACTTTCATCGCTGTCTCTCTAACGGCCCAGAGACAGAGTTTACTTCAGCAAAAACTCAATAACCTTTGTGCACAGATGCAGTTCCTGGTCATAGGCTCAAAGCCAGAGACCTGCAAAACTCCAGACTGCAAACTACACCAGAGGAAAAAACCTGGATCTCCCGTACTTCATGATCACAAAGTTGAACACACAAAAAGACTGAAATAACCTCAACAAATCTTTTTTTAAATATTTTCACCACTCGCCCTGGATTTTAAATATAGCTGCAGTCAAGGTCACCGATTCAGTGTTATGATCATGGTGTTCACACTGACATCCTGTCTCGGATTGCAAAGTTAAAACTTCTAGTGCAGCTCTTAAGTGATTGGCATTAAAAAGCAGATATTCTCAGGAGCACTGCCCTCTGTTCACTATATTAAAGGGCCTGTTTCATGGCTTTGATTAAGATTAGGGCTTCTAATCTCATATACAGAGAATGTGAATTTCATCATAAATATTTAATTTGTGGTGAATATGAATCATCCATTTTTTATGTGACATTGCCTCATCCAAAACGGCTGACAGACGCTATCCATTATGCCACTGGTATCGGAGTTCATGTTATTCCTGAGATAAGAACGAACCTATGGAAACAGGCAACAATAACTGGCAACCTCTAGTGCAAGACAAATCCCTGT